ATTTGTTTTTTGTTTTGTCTTTTTTCTTATATTTGACTGTGCAATAATCACTGTGCAATATACTTACTCAAATGAGCAATCCTATATATCCATATTGTATATTCTGTATCTATATATGTGTATATATGGTGTATTTATGCTTATATCCTTACTCTCATTCCCCTTAATGTATCTGTAACATGCAACTTCTTTCGGTGCTTTGCTACTGGAAACTGAATTTCCCGGAGGAACCCACCCGAGGGATTAATAAAGTTTCATCTAATCTAATCTAATCTAATATGTAGATATATGGCCCACTAGCCATATTGAATTTTTGTCCCCGTCCAGCCCTGAGTCATACGGTAACAAACTGAGGGGACTGCACTTCCAGAAGGGAACATTGCAGACATTGAGGTTAGCTAGGTGGAATCTCACAGGCAAATGGGAACCATGAAGAAGTTACTAGGAAAGCCACAACCATCAAATACCTCCAGAGGGTAAGGCAAGTCTTGAGGACTCAGTTGAATGGGAAGAACAAAATCCTGGGCTATCAACACCTGCACCCTGCCAGTCATCAAATAGCCTGCTGGGTTAATGAGCTGGCCAAAGGAGAAGTTAGATGCCACTGACTCTGTCCTATGCATGGAGGGTTTTAGTCCAAGATGTAGCACCCTGGGACTGTAGGCTAAGTGGAAGGAAGGAGGCTGAGGATTAGTGTGTGTCAGAATCGTGTCCAGGATGAAACAAAGATGCAGTACCAATTTAGTGAGGTCTTTAGAATGACTCATTACACACATATTTATGTTTAAAAAAATTTACATAAAGGCAGACTGCATGCTTAATCTTTCCAAATAGTATATAATTCCACTCTCATTCAACAAAGACAAAATGTTTGACATACACTGAGAGTTCTCACACAACCTGATGATAGAGGTCAGGATTACCCATTATTGTTGATGCTTGCAATGCTTCTTTATTACAAAAAATAACAAAAAAACAAGATTAATGTCAACGATCTTGATAAAAGAGCAAACAGATCAACACTTCTTTGACTCACTTTGCAAATATGCAGGAATATAGTTCTTAAACAGCAGTTAAAAACAAAAAATCATATAACAAGCTGATGAGAGCAGATAACACATTGCAGCACTTGTCTGACAAA